CCACTTATGGTACTTTAGTACCAAAATTGGTACTTTTTTTTTTTTTTCGTTTGGTACTCATGTTCAAAAACTGGTACATTTTTGACGACCCAACTTTATTGTGGATATTTACAATTAATTTTTTATATAAATGCAACTTTGCACTATCTTATATTTTGTTCATTTATAACACTATGAAAAACACAGAACGAGAAAACAAAAAGGTCCAAAAAAATTTTGGACCTTTTTTTTACAGAAATGGTTCCTTTTTAATTCAATTTTGGTACAGAAAAAAATTTTCAAGTGGCAACCGTGACTATAACTATCGGTAACAGTTTTCGGGAAAAACTATTAAAAAATTTAAATATTTAAAATATATTTAAAAAATATTAAAAATTTAATTTTGTTATTAAGTTAACTACAAAATAGTATCTTATGATAAATTATTTAAAAAAAAAATTAAAAATTAAACAAAAGTTTTATAATTCGAGACTTAAAACCAAATAATCCTTCAGAAAGCCGTTAACAACGTTGACATGAGCTGTTAACGTTGCATTCAAAGTGAATATTTCGCTCGTAAAGCCCATAGATACAAGTGTAACTCACAACATATCTATGATTTTTTCGTATCTATTTATCTCATAAAATGAATGTCGCCAAACCTTGATCTTGAAAGTGAAACAACGACTATAACATATATACAAAAAAAACTATTTACCTTTAAAATAAAAATTTATTTTTGCTATTTTTATTTTTGTTTCGTTATTTCGTTTTTGCTGTGCGTAAATTGTGCGTAACTGCAAATTTACGTTTGAGATACAAAATTTTCAACTGAATTGATTTATTGAAATCTAACGCTTTTTTTTTATATATATAGTATGAAATACTTTATTGAGTTTTATTTAATTTTTTTATTTTTATTTTTTGTAACGTCATTGCTTTTAATTGCAAATTTATCGAATGATCTTAATAAACTGTAAAAAAATTGCTTGATAAATGCTTCGATTGCCTCTGTTTGTTTACTAACAAGTTTTGTTGACATTTTTTACAAAACCAAAAAAAATATATATTTTAATATTTTGAGATATAAGTTGTATTTGTAAATGTTAAAGTAAAATATACGTTTATTAATTATAACTGCAGAACACAAATAAAATATGTAAATATTCACAACTTGTGACTTAATTTGATAAAATTTATTTATGATCAAATAAATGACTTTTATAAATTTTGTTTTTCAAATTAAATAAAAATTCATTTAAAAATAAATAATATACATACACGTATGCACTATTATCTTCGTCGATTATATTAATGAAATCTGTTGGAATTCCACTTTAATTTCAATTTTTTTAAATTCCCAGCTTTGCTACATTCTTCATAACTCGTTTATGTTTTTCATCTTAATACGCAGAATCTCATTCAGATTCATGTGTATGGCTTGTACCTGAACTTCAGACTCTTCAGAGTTACTAAAGATACATATTTACATTCAACTCTTGATTGAAACAAAAAACAATCTATTCAACTTCTTATAAAAATCAAAGATACACGTGTCATAAGCTTTCTTGATCGTTTATATACTAATAAATACTAAATACATACATACATAACATATGTATGATTGATTTACTAATTATAAAAAACAACGATTATAATCAAGTGTTATTATATTATTAAAAATGTAATATAAAATAGAATTAATTGTTTTATAGATTTCTTGCTATTTTTATTTTTATTTTTATTTTTATCTGTTTGATTAAATTAATTAGCAAAAGCTTGTATAAACAAATAAAAAAACGATTTTATGTAAGCAAATATTAGTTATTAATTTTTTCTACGCACTGGTATATGTCATAGAGTATTCAACTCCATGAGTTTATATAATAACACTGTTTATGACACTGATTAATATATATGAACCGTTTAATCTACACACTTTCAAACACAAAAGCACCAGCATTTTCACAAACTTTAATAGCCAGACAGCTATAATATCTCTGCAACTCCATACCATTATTACTAATTTGATCAGGAACTGCAAAAATCTCATATCTCTATTGCCTAATACAAATAAAATAACACTTGACTTTGTACCTGACCATATGGGTTTGGACGATAACAAAACATATGACAACCTTGCAAAGGAGGGTGTAGTAAGTTCTTCCATAGCACCAAAATCTTTCTGCAGAATGTCCACTTATTAAACTGTATCAGATATTTGAATGAGAAGACTTGAGTCATTTCCAAAAGCATAAGACGATACAAACAGCTCATTCGAATCAAAAACAAAAATGTTGACAAGACTCTGAAAGTAAGCAAATCTTTACTCAAATTAATAAGATTTCTTGCTTTAGATGCTTCATTTAATTACCACCTTTCAAAGATGGTACTAAAGAGCGCTGTTGTTTATGTATATAGAGTGAAACATTTCCTCTTTATATCCGCTCGTACACTACTATTGCTGAAAAATGAACCCAGTCCATTTATTTAACTTTAATATACATTAAGACTGAAAAGTTTTCGGAAATTCTCATTTAAAATTCGCGCGCTGTATATTTTTCGATATTTTAAGTTTATGTAGTTTGGCAGCACTGTCCTTAATTACTATGCCAAAAATGAGCTCGATCTGTCAGACAGTTCGTTTACGGCAGCTGTTGAAACCAGTTCACCTCAGTAGTGCGTTGCGAAATGTCTTCGACGGTCGTACGACCGTCCTGGAAGGCTTTGTACCACTCATAAACTTGAGTTTTCGATAAAACTGATTCCCCATAAGCCTTTTGTAGCATTCGCAACGATTCTGCACACGAAATTTCGTTCGAAACACAAAATTTGATGCAAACTCTTTGTTCAATATTTTTTTCCATTGTTTTTTTCGCAACGCCCTACTGAGGTGAACTGGTTTCAACAGCTGCCGTAAACGAACTGTCTGACAGATCGCGCTCATTTTTGGCATAGTAATTAAGGACAGTGCTGCCAAACTACATAAACTTAAAATATCGAAAAATATACAGCGCGCGAATTTTAAATGAGAATTTCCGGTCTTAATGTAAGGTCCACTACCTTGAGATAAGAGATATGGTAGTTTTTGCCAAATGACCTTAAATTGTTCGTAATAGCTGAAGTCAGTTGTAACCAGTCACAACAGCTCTCATGGGTCATAATGCACAATCATCCTTTCTAACAATCACAAAAACTTTCAAATAAAGTCCTTTTCATTCAGCTTTAAAAGAACTGAATAAGGTCTAGAATTATCACCTAAGAAAACTGTAAGGTTTATGAATACCCTTAATTTGTCCAGGTTAAATTGAATTGATCTCTTCAGCCATAACAGTTCTCATAGACCGTAGTATACGATTGCCACTTTTAGTTAATATAGTATTAGAAATAAAGAAATAAAGAACGGTAGCAGTGATTAACTAAAAATTTAAACTACTCTCAAATAAGCAAATATTTCTTAATTAAAATTTTGCTAGTATTATTTTAAATATTAAGTAATTTCTTTCTTTATTGAAAAGAAGAAAATTTGACTATTAATAGTAAATATGTAAAGTCATTGCTGTAATATTATCTGAATTATTGTCTGAACTAAATCCATTGATGTTATTATTGTATTGATCGGTTGGATTGTTTGATTAATCTCCAGACAATTTTAAGCAATTTTAAGTAGACGACCTATAATTGCGATGCGTTTTCATAGCATTTTTGTTATTACTAACCCTATCCTAGTGGTTTAGTATTCTACATATTTAGGATAGCTTTAATCTAAGAATTTCTGATTTAAAAGTAAAATGCAGCAATTTATTTTCTTCGTGAATCTTATTAATACTTCCAGCTTAACAGTACATAATACTGTCAGCTTCCACAATTTTTCTGGCGCCTCGAAAAAGGACTTTCTAATAATTGTAATCTGCCTCATTGTAAACCAGTGCAGTTTCATAATAGGTCATATATACTTTCATAATTAAAGATAGGTTAATATATATCGCATATAACGATTAATATAAGGCTACGTAGAACCTAGCTGAAATACTGACAGGAAGTAGCTGTGGTGTATATCTGCACCATAGCATGTCAATAAATATGCGGTTGCTATTCATCCTTGTCTTCAATGCGGATATGCAGTTTTCGGAACTAAATTAATTAATTTTTAAAATATATAATAATAAGTTATATAAATAAATTGTTTACAAGTCAATACAAATATTTAAAAAACAAAATAAATTGTACACTTCAATGAATTTGAATGAATATTTGTGAAGAGGAAAAGATTAAAATCGTTGGGGTGAATGCTGGGAAGTACGTTCTCGAGAAATACGTAAAAGTACGTCAATCTTCAGAGGAAGTTTTATATGTGAAACTGAACTTTTCTTTGCACTCAAACGAAACTGTCTGATTTATTTCAAGTGGAAAAAACAAATAACTTTTACGGCAATTGCAAACAAAAGCGTTTAAAATATTTACTTATTTATGACAGTAATTAAGCAATTTTAAAGATGTTATTTGTGTGTTTAATTTTATTTGACTACAAATATATCAAGAAATACAAAACAATTTTATTTTTTATATACAAAATATATCATTTATCTTTCTTATTTTTTGTAATGTGACAAACACGTTTGACATTTTTGCACTTTTATCTTAGAATTTGCCAGGAAGTCGTGTTGTTTACCAGATATTTTTCATTTATTTTTCTTACTAAGATATTTTTTTTCTGTTCAAGTCGTATATATATAATTAAAAAAAACTTTTATTTCATTAAAATTGTGTTATTAAATTCAAAACTATTTATTTTCTTTTTATTTTTCTAGTTTTATTTTTTATTATTATTATTTCTATTCTATTCAACATTTTTATAAATGTTGTCGTAATTATTACTTATGACTTGACATAAATTATGCAAAATACGAGTTAAAAATTCTGCAAGAAAACTCGTTTCTTTAATTAATTAATTTTAATAAATTAAATTATTAATTTTTTTGTAATTATTTTTTTTTCTATCTCTCTTTTCTTGTTTGTAGATGGCGCGGCAGTGTTTATAAATTGGTTTGGCGAGAATTAGTCGCTTATTTATGCTTATACTACACAATAAATCTAATTTATAGATTTGCTTTAAATGAACACCAACAAGCGTAAGTATCTTAACATCCAAACCCGCATTATTAATAGATATGAAAAATATGAAATTATTTATATATATGAAAACAAATGTATTGAAGGACGATTTTTTAATCTTACCTTGTTCCCGTACAAAAACCTCTGACTACAACAGTTATTTAAAAGATTAGACATAGACACATTTTTATTAATTATTTAAATTTAAGAAATATCAAAATTAATAATATATTCGACTGAAGTTAAAGAACTCTACGACCTTATTTCGTTTTAAAAAACCACTCATATTATAAGCTATTAATATTTATATTATTTTTTGTCGTATATCTGAAATATTATATTCAGTTGAAAAGAAGCAGGTTTTTTTTTATATATTAGCTTTATTTTTTTACTACCATTCGATAGTATAATAATGGAAGTGTCATTTATAAAATTCTAGTAATTAGTAAACAATTTACAGACATGGAACGTACTATATTGACGCACAAGTAAACCTGGAATCTGTGACATCATTAGCTCAATCACTTCATTTCCTCTAACATCTGTTAGTAAACCTCCTTGTTGCAATTACAAACTTTATTACTTTTATTAATGCATTGTAGAAAAGGCATTATCATCATAATTCATATTATGTTTTAAATCGGTGGTTCCCAACAGGTCGTCCACGGACCGCAGGTGGCTAAAAATGATCCGTTAATCAAATTTAACGGGTATTAAAACATAACTTATAGTTTATCCACAGAGACTTCACTTATCAAATAATAAACACAAAATATTTCCAAGTAATTCTATCCCTATAAATATATAAATATTCTATATATTTTGTGACCTATATAATTTATCCATACACTTATACAATTCATTATACATCATACCAGAGATACATATGGCATATTAAAATATTCATACAGTTTATCATTCTTAAAATTTGTGGTCCCTACTAAAAACAATAATATCATATTGGTATTTGGTCAAAAAAAAGTTCTGAACCACTGCTCTAGACAAAGAATATGCTAACGCCAATTTTAAAAGTGATATCAAATTCGAACCGAAAAATAAAGTCATGCTGTAATCTTATTTTGGAAAGCTTTCTTATATATGTAAATCAAACATTTACATTAAAGACATGCCTACAATATTCATCGGTGTTCAATTGTTGGAATACTTCGTAATATGAACTTATAAGATATGGACATATGGATTTAAGTTATGAACGTCAGATGTGCACAATTTTTGCTACTTGTTTCTAATGTCTACTCATAAACTTCATTTCATCCTACAAACTGTACATCACAGAGTTACCATATGTTGTTTTCGTTATTCTGTATTCGATGGTTTCTATGGGTGTTATGATTGCTATAGCATAGTTCTTGACAAATGTATAAATTTGTATTTTTTCTAGCGTAATCGAATATATGGATAATATTTAGGCCTCCCCATTTTTTGAAATTTACATATTAATTGACAAGCTTAAAGCAACCAATTACCTAGTGGTATTAAGTTATTAATAGAATAAATCTCTCTTAATTTTCCGAAAAAAACCCACTACACAAAAATCTAGCTTAAATATTTTAAATCCATTATACCTTGACTCACTCTTTCTAACACCCATTAAATTAAAAATATTTTTTGTTAATCAAATTGTGAATTTATTTGAACAAACATATTTTTAAAAAATTATATACTTAAAGAGTAAATTATAATATTTTTATGAGTAATAATTTTTCATGTTTTTAAAAAATTTTATTATTTCATTCTAGCATATTTAATAAGTTACGTGTTTACTTTGGACAGCAAGGTGAGAGCGTACCAATGTCTTTCGTGCTGGGCTTCTATGTAAGTCTGGTGGTAAAAAGATGGTGGGAACAATACAGACTACTGCCTTGGCCAGATACCTTGGCTTTATTTATAAGTGCAGCTATACCAAACTCAAATGGTGGTGTCAATGTAAGTATCATTCTAAAGATAATTACAAAAAAGTACAAAAAATTAATAATTTTGTCATAACGCATATATATCCTTTCAATATCCAGAATGAAACCAGCCGGTTGATGCGTCGTAACATTATGCGTTACATGGTGCTTGCCTATGTCATTACATTGCAGCGCATATCGTTGCGTGTGAAGAGACGTTTCCCTACAACACAACATCTCGTAGATGCCGGTCTCATGCATGAGTCCGAAATGAAAATATTTGAGGCACTTAACCAAAAGAGTCCTATGTCAAAATATTGGATGCCACTGGTATGGGCGACTAATATTATAAATCGTGCACGTAAAGATGGTCTAATTGTCTCAGATCACATCGTACAAACCATTTTAATGGAACTCTCCGATATACGTCGCAGATTAGGTGGACTCATTGGTTATGACACAGTTTGTGTACCACTTGTATATACGCAGGTGAGTAGTCTAGGGTGTCGTGATAAACAATGCATATTACTATTGAAAATTTTGCACTAGGCTCAATGTCAATAGTATCTTTTGTTATTGTGTATTTCAATGAATTTTATCACATGCGCCAGAGCAATGAACTGTGATTTTAATTGTATATTTTTTTTTTAAATAAAAAATAATGTTTTGCTTGAAAAAACTTGTATCTGTAAAAAACGCGAATTTATATTTTTTAAAAAATTTTTATTTAAAAAATTAAAATTTATTTTTAGGTCGTTACGCTTGTATTGTACACATATTTTATAGCCGCATTATTAGGCCGACAAATGTTGCCTGGCGCTTTGAACGGACATGAAAATCCGGATTTGTATTTTCCATTGTTTACAGCACTGCAAGTAAGTTCAGATAACTACAAGTACAATTGAAAATATTAAAAAAATAAAATTTAGTCGTTACTTAAACGTTAATTTGACATATCAAACTATCAAACATCTTAAATAACACTTGCATGTTACTAATTGACTGCAATTTTTCGTATTTTCTTAGTGATAATTGCATTTGTCGCACTTATTATTTTTGTGATTGAATTGAAATTGAATTTTGATCTAGAATAATAGACTAATATTAATGTTTTTAATATATTGAATCATTTTAAAAAAATATATATAATTAAATTCATTACGTTGGCATAAGTCTGAATTAATATCAGGTTAATGATCAAAGATTGCAAAAAAGTTATGAATCATGAAAATAAATGCAGAAATGGAAAAATATCTCATTACAGGTGTTAATTTTTTATAAAACAATCAAAAAATATTGTTATTTTTTCAAACAATAGTGTAAATTGGAACTTAATTGAAACGTCATAATTATTTTAATACAAACAGCTGTGCTCATTTCTATTTCAAATTTTTGCAAACCACACAGCCTGCAGTCTTTGATCACGCAAATACGTCAGACTGACCAAATGACCAATGACAAATTTTGTATCTTTTCTCTACAAAAAAAAGATAAAAAGTACTTTTTATCCAGTTTTTGACGTATATAAGCTTTAATACAATTGTTAACCAAATAAGATCTTACCTCACAACAAAATCACCATATTTTCTCTATAGATTCCAATAATTAATTTAAATCAGCAAAACAAAAATTTTACTAATTTTTTATTAATTCCGTTTATATGCATATTTATTATTATAATTTGGTGTTAAATTTGTTTAAAAAAAAATTAAATGTATTTCGTATAAATTTTAAAAAGCTGTTTTTTTTCTGCGGTTTAGCAAACCACTTTTGTTAATGATACTACGAAACCGGGCACTCGTATCGCAACTACTGAAATATTAGCAATTTTTCAAATATTGTGGTTTTTAATCAAACAAACAAATTTACTCAAATAACTAACCACGTAACTAATATATATTTTAATCAGTTTTAATTATAGATGTAAAAGCAACACTGAACAACTACTAACATTATTGCCTATTGTATAATTCAGTAAATCATTTCATTTTACTGCACAAACAGATAAAAGTATCTGAAGTTGTTTTCAGTGTTGTCTTCAAACAAACAATAGAGGAAAGTAACCACAGCAATTGAAGTATAAAATTTCGATAATTTTTTTAATCAACTTAAAATGCAATAATATTTAATTCGAAACCCACTATTTAGTTCGCAATGCCATATAAAGTTGTCGCCAGTGGTGAGAGCAGCAAGCCATGGCATTATTGGGTTTTGAGCAACACGTGCAATCACTTAAAAATGAAACTACAAAATTATTGGCAACATCTGTCAATATTGCTGACAATAAGTACGATGTGGGTTGCATAATTACACATTGACAGGCTACTTTATTTAATAAACATAAAGTGAAAATAAATGTTATAACATCGTAACTGCAAAAAAGATATTTTATATGGCAAAAATGTCTTGAACACATTTAATCATATTCGCGTATCACATATGTATGAAATGAAATTATTGAAATTATTAAATAATTAATCCAGTGGTTAAATTAAAAATTAAATTTAAATTTAATCAAAAAAAAGCGTCATAGTTATGTTAAAAATATTTTGTTTTTATGTAATACAAATGTTAGATATACACCTAGGTGTGGTTCTAATACTAATATCTAGTACTCATACTCTTGCACCTCATTTTCTTGTATATTGCTTTCTAACCACCTTCTTCTATTTCATATGTTATATATACATGTTAAAGGTATTGTGGAGGTTTTATTTACATAAACCATTTTTTAACCCTATATATTTGGTTAATACTGCTAATCCATCCACAAAACAATTCTCTGCGAATATTTTTTATCTTTTTTTTCAAGTTTGAATTGAAAAATTATTTATTAACTTTTACTGATAATTATAAATTAAATTCTGTTTATTTGAAAAAAATGTTTTGAATGGTAACCACTCTAAATATATAGTAGCTTTATATTTATAAAATAGATTTTATATCATGAATATCAGACACATCAATTTATTGATTCAGAAGAAAATTTATAACAATTAACAATGTTGTTTATTAACAACACTAAATATTTTTTAAAAATTGAAATGTTATATCCTACGTTTCGACCCTTGATATAGACATTAAATACTTTAAATACTATTCTGATTAAAAAAACTGTTAACAAGAAAATTGGAATTAAAAAAAAATTGTATGGCAGCGATCTTAAAATAGAAATAGAAATGGTATAAGACATATGCTGCATATTTTATATCTTGGTGTTAGGTTAGGTTAGTCCGGAGTAGCGGCTATGTGTCCAAAACCCACATAAATTCAGAGCGCAATGACCCAATGTGATTTCATGAATATTGCTGTTAATTTTTTCAAAAAAAAATTTTTTAAAAATAATGTATTATATATTATATTATTATAATATTACAAAAGTTATAATCAATAAGGGATATCATACATATCCTACAAAGATCAACAACGAGCCACAACAGATTAAAAGCCAAATGATAAACAAATCGTAAAAGAAAAGTATGGGTGGTTGGGCTACACTCTACGCAAAACCCACACATGTGGATCTAGAATGGAGTCCACAAGAAAGAAGAAATCGCGCTCGACCAAATACTACGTGAAAAAGTACAATCAACAGAGAGTCGGACAAATCTTTTAGTAAACTAAAAACTATAGTGCGTGATAGAAATAATTGGAAATCTTTTGTGATTAGAACACTTTTCTTGAATTTATATTTTTGAAAACGTCAATGATAATAATATAATATGTTACATATATCTGTCAACTTATTTGAAACGGGCTTTCCACCGTCAGCAACTTTTATTATATTCTAAATATATATATATGTATATTATATATAAATACATCTTACATTTTATATTATAAAACTTATATTTAAATAGATCTGCATAACATATAATATTTTAACACTTTCTAAATTTTTTCTTCAATATTGGCATTATTTATTATATCATAAATACCTTATTATATATTACAAGAATTATACTCAATAACGCAGATGATAACTTGTACAAGAATTGCTTTCTGTCTGACAACTCACCCAAAAAAAAACTTTAATTAAAAGTTTTCACTTAATGATTCATCTTATCACATATGTTCAAATAATATTAAATTAAAAAATCTTTTTCATTTAATTAAAATTATTTTAATTTAATTTACTTTAATTTACAGTTCGTTTTTTATGTTGGTTGGCTTAAAGTTGCCGAAGTGTTAATTAACCCATTTGGAGAAGATGATGATGATATTGAGCTCAACTGGCTCATTGATAGACATATTAAGGTGAGTTCATTCTGCATTTGTTTTGATAAATTTAATTTAAATTTTAATTAGTACATTTATTTAGTTGAGAAAGTCAAGGCCCTGCAAAAATTATTTAGAGTAATTATAAAAGTATTTTTAAAATTAACAGTAATCACGCAATGGACTTATTTTTAATTCAAATAAGAATATAATAAGTAGAAAAAAATTAACTCAAAAGTCAAAAATTTATATTAAATTGTTTAAATTATAATCTAATACAATGTTCTAATATTACTATTAATAATGTTTACTAGGAATAACCTAAAATGTACAAATGAGAAGTATGAAAATTTCTGTAGCCCGCTCGAACCCTCATTAGTATATTTCATAGAGCAATATCATAAAATATAAAATATTCGCGATATGATTTTATAAAATATTCCCATATTTAGGATCATGTAAACCGTAAATTCAATAAAAACTAGTTAAAGATTAGTTAAAGCCATGTTATGTAGAGTGTCTCGGGCACGACATGAGTAATATTGTTGTTATTTTCAATGCAAATTATAAAATTGAGATTGAGAGAAAAAAAATACTGATTCAAACTTCGACATGAGAGCCGGCTATTTGTGCCTTGGCAAAATATTGATGTGATAGTCTACATAATATGTATTTTTTTCATAGCCCAAAAGAGCCAATTTTGTCCTGGCCAAGACACTCCAAATAACCTCTTGAACCTCTTGAAATTATACAAATATTAATAAATTTCTGTAACAATCGCATTCAGTATATTACTTTAAATATTATTGTCAGTCAAAAAAGCGTCAAAAATTCGTACATCAATATGAACTATTCCATATTAAACTTAATTTCATAGAATGATTACTGCGCCATCTATTTGCAATTTACTACATACTTATGCAGATATCTATACATTATCAAAAACTAATACTTTAAAAGCACATTAAATATTTTTGTATCGACAGAGTTTAACAATAACAAAGGCATGACATTACAATTTGTAAGCAACATTACTAAAGATACTCCAAATTAAATAAAATTTCGTGAAATCCTTTCTACTCAATTCATTTGTAATTAATTTTAGACGACCATTTGTACTATTTCAAAAAAATAATACTGTACAAATAAATAGAAGTGTCAAACCTTTAGCGCTATTAGCAAAATGTATTATATATCAAAAGTTACTGATAGTTTATATTAAATTCAATTCCATAGAATATTTACTCCTTAATTTTAATATAGCTTACTATTTATACGAATTCTGTATAATTTTAAAAAATAATGCTTCAAAAGTTCATAAAAGTGCTTTGCATCAGCACAATTTAATATAAATAATATAGGGAGCTTTAACGATTTGCTAATATGTGTTTTCTAACATGGAGTCCAGGGCCCGTAAAAAAATAATTGTACCCTTAACTGAGTTAAGCCTTCAACCAATTATTTTGAATTTAAAAATTTATCAATATTACCGCATTACATTCAAACACTCAACTCACCAACCTGATTTTCGATGGGACTTACCAAACAAAATTTTGAGTAACACTGCTTTTGAGAATATACCTATGTTATCTTTTCAACTGCGAACAGACAACTCTCTCTAATTTGATAACAAAGTTTTTTTTCCTAATATTTTAAAATTTACATGTTGTATTTGCTTTCCATTGTTTCCACTTTTTTCAAAAAAAATGTATTACTAACCTTAAAATAATATAAACAATACGTAAACATATGTAAGCTATAAATTTTATTCTAATCTAGTTATATATGAATTCTTAGCAGTTACATTTAAGTATTAATAATCAACTTACTTTGAATTATAAAAAAAAATTCTTATTCATTCATATAAGTTAAAAACAAAAGATTCCTATATATATTTTAGACTTCTCCTCTGATATATACCTCTTCTGATATATACATCAACACATACATGGCAGTTCCAAGATTTATTTAAACAGTATTTAGCCTTTAACTTTAATAAATTTAAAATTTTTTATGAGTTCATTAACTAGGAACCATATTTTTATTACAATGAATATTTTATACGAGCAAATTTTTCCAAATTAAATTAAAATATTTAAATTAAATGTTAACATAAATGAAAAAAAGTAATGTAAAAATTTTTATGGAAATAAAACTTTACAAAAGTAGCATCCAGAGGCCTCACGACGACCGGGGACAAAATAATTCACTCCCTTTTTTTGTATCTTAAGATACAAAATACAAAATATCTTTAAAGCTACCAATTCAATCCCAATTTTATCTGTTTTTAATTTACAATTTACAATACAATTTTAGCTATATCAGAGTTCCCTCTTGGTCCCTGTATGCATCGCCACTGTTTTTCACATGCGTTTATTATCATGTCTCTCTACACTATAGAACTTTAAAACAGTTGTTTAAATATATTAGGGTGTGGTGTAGTCAAGTTCTTAATGTGGCCTAAGGTTTAAGGCCAAATACATTTAGTACGTGTAAACGTAAAAATAAATTTACATAAAAGAAAAGTACGAATATTTACTATATATGTACTTGTATTGTTTTTATAGATTTGTATCTTTTTTTCAACTGAAACCAATACGAATTGCTATGCTCACACACGCATTTGTATATGTCAAATCGACAGCTTGCAATTTGTTACTCGTTTTATTAATAATATTAAGCATAAATATTTAATAAGTGTTGTAGAGCATTAAAAAAATTTTAAAAAAAATATTAATAAAATATTTAAAAATGTTTAAATTTTAGTAAAACAATTTTAAAAAATATACACTAAAACAAATTGTTAGTTTGACCAGCTATAAATGTTAAATATTATGTATAATAATTGAGCTATAATATAATATAAGGAAATTAAAATTATTGGAATATAAGTTTAAATACAATTTGTATGAACTCAATATAATCTTGAAGAGTTTTAAACTACCATTCTTAAAAATTTAATTTATTTATAATTACTTATTTTATTATTTACACTGAAGATAGTCTACCAAGTAGACCAAAATAACTGTAATATAAATAATTTTTTATAATGGTTTTTAAATATTTTTTTTTATCCGAATATACGACACTTTTTGTTAAATAAATCAACGTTTGTTTAATATTTTTTAATTTATTTTATATTTCGACTCATTATCAGGATCACGTTCTATAAAGATAATTACAACAATTTGCAATATTTTAATTATTATTTTCATAATTAATTATGAATTATTGATCTAAAAAATATTAAGGACATTTATTTGCCAATATGTGCATTTAGCATATTTAACAAAACTCTTCCAAAGTAAGCTAAATTATACATACTTGAAAATCTTCTATAAATCTATATATATAAATATTTCCTTAGGTATAATTTTGACCTTACTGTACTTGCTCGGCATATTAACTGTTAGGATTTTGGCAAGGTTTTTATGTTCGAATGTAAATACGTTGTATTTTTTTATTGCGGTCTATAAAAGTATTAAAATTAGCAAACATTCAAAATTAAATCGATTTTCGAATTTTTTATTTAACTCAATTAATCAATCCATTGCAATTCTGTTAACATTATTAATTGTAAATTCACCAAATATATCTAATTGATTTTTATTTACGATACGTTTCCTTCCGAAATTATAATTTGTTGTACGATCAAAAAATTGTAGATATTACTTATTTAATTAATTATTTGAGCTATTGAGTCAGTCACCGAGCCTTTTACTTTTATAATGCGGGTTTCTTCAACCCCTTCTTGCGCCTTGATATTATTGTTTATCACTTCATCAGGACTTAATATAATTGACTTCAGTCTGCTCGTCACCGAGGAGCCTGTACACTCTGAGATTGATAACGCGTGTTAGAAGTCTGTCAATTTCGCAAATAATTTCAGGGTTCTATCCTTTATGTATTTTTTGATGGGATCAATCTTGATGTCTCTGAGGTTTTATAAATTTACAAGCTTTGACAGCATTAGCTTGAAAAATTCTCGATTTTCTCAATGCGAACATTATTCGTAATCACCTTAAAAATGGTGATCTTTGGTAAACAACCCTGCACCTACAATCTAACTTAATTTAATTTCTGTCACTCCACAGTTATTTAAGTTGAGATATTGTGAGTTTAAAAAGACTTAAGTATCTGAAGTTTTTTGAATCGAAGCTCAGAAAATAGAATACGGTTAGTGTTATCTTTCTATCTTTATCAATTCAAATGCACATCAGAACTATATTAAGTTAAACGATACAATTAAATAAGAATGATATGGCTTTACTTGTATATTGGTTACATATTGTCTTAACCTATTGGTTAATCATGTCCTAAGAAAGAAGGAACAGAAAATATTACTAAACTATTAACATTAGTAGTAAGAAGTAGAAGAAGCCTTCATAAACAATTAATATATTATATTAACAACTACGAATTAGAGCAATTGAATTTAAGAACTGGAGATATGTGGTCTAAAATAGAGAAGAATGAAGAGAAATGCTGAAGAAATACATATCTGTGAAAATTTTCATATATTAGAGAATGAAATAAAATACTCGCATAAAAAATTAAGGGACAAGTAAAATTAATAAATTAAGTCTAAACATTTTAATACGATATCAATGTGAAAGTGTTATTTTATAAATATTGTTTTTAGTTTTGAAATATATACCATGACTAACTTCTTCTCATGCATAAACCTATTATTTTTATTAATGTTATAAAGTGACGAATACTATGTAAGGTGACTCCGGTGGTCTATTACGGTAAGCCCACTTTTCTTAACAGATCTTCAAGTTTTTAATGAACGTGTGAAAGTTCTATGGTTTAGTTTTTTCTTTACATTAGGTAGGATAGCAAGTCTGTTACTCAGAAGTACAAGTCTGCAGTTGTTTAATTCGTACAGAATGTCTTCAGGCAATTTAACAGTCACTTTGAATAAACGGTAGATGTTAGTCTTTGCGAAACGAATTTTGTTGAAATGGTGCATCAATTAGTATAATTACACAAACTCGGAGGGAATTTTATTACCCTTCCGTCCAATGAATCTTTTT